TGGTCTCTCTGGCCTCTCTCTGGTCTCTCACTGGTCTCTCACTGGTCTCTCTCTGGTCTCTCTCTGGTCTCTCTCTGGTCTCTCTCTGGTCTCTCTCTGGTCTCTCACTGGTCTCTCTCTGGTCTCTCTGGTCTCTCTCTGGTCTCTCACTGGTCTCTCTCTGGTCTCTCTGGTCTCTCACTGGTCTCTCTCTGGTCTCTCTGGTCTCTCTCTGGTCTCTCTGGCCTCTCTCTGGTCTCTCACTGGTCTCTCTCTGGTCTCTCTCTGGTCTCTCTCTGGTCTCTCACTGGTCTCTCTCTGGTCTCTCTGGTCTCTCTCTGGTCTCTCTGGTCTCTCTCTGGTCTCTCACTGGTCTCTCTCTGGTCTCTCTGGTCTCTCACTGGTCTCTCTCTGGTCTCTCTGGTCTCTCTCTGGTCTCTCTCTGGTCTCTCTGGTCTCTCTCTGGTCTCTCACTGGTCTCTCTCTGGTCTCTCTGGTCTCTCACTGGTCTCTCTCTGGTCTCTCTGGTCTCTCTCTGGTCTCTCTGGCCTCTCTCTGGTCTCTCACTGGTCTCTCTCTGGTCTCTCTCTGGTCTCTCTCTGGTCTCTCACTGGTCTCTCTCTGGTCTCTCTGGTCTCTCTCTGGTCTCTCTGGTCTCTCTCTGGTCTCTCACTGGTCTCTCTCTGGTCTCTCTGGTCTCTCACTGGTCTCTCTCTGGTCTCTCTGGTCTCTCACTGGTCTCTCTCTGGTCTCTCTGGTCTCTCTCTGGTCTCTCTCTGGTCTCTTCCCACCCATTTAAGAACATGGAGGAATAACATAATTTTGCAGAATATTTGTTTACTTTAAAAGTTGAGTTTTATTGTGACACACAGGTCCAAACAACACGCCTGTCTTTCCCGCTGCTGTCTCCGGTCCAAACAACACGCCTGTCTTTCCCACTGCTGTCTCTGGTCCAAACAACACGCCTGTCTTTCCCACTGCTGTCTCTGGTCCAAACAACACGCCTGTCTTTACCACTGCTGTCTCTGGTCCAAACAACACGCCTTTCTTTCCCACTGCTGTCTCTGGTCCAAACAACACGCCTGTCTTTCCCACTGCTGTCTCTGGTCCAAACAACACGCCTGTCTTTCCCACTGCTGTCTCTGGTCCAAACAACACGCCTGTCTTTCCCACTGCTGTCTCTGGTCCAAACAACACGCCTGTCTTTCCCACTGCTGTCTCTGGTCCAAACAACACGCCTGTCTTTCCCACTGCTGTCTCTGGTCCAAACAACACGCCTGTCTTTCCCACTGCTGTCTCTGGTCCAAACAGATTCAAGTTTGGTTTTATGAGCTGCAGTTTGAGCACTGGTGCCAAAGCAAACACCTCCCTGATGGTATGTGTGTGTGTGTCTGCATCTGTGTGTGTCTGTGTGTGTGTGTGTGTGTGTCTGTGTCTGTGTGTGTGTGTGTGTGTCTGCATCTGTGGGTGTGTGTGTGTCTGTGTGTGTGTACGTTTCTGTGCGTGTGTGTGTGTATTTACGTGTCTGTGAATATATTTCTGTATGTGCGTGTGTGTTTCGGTGTATGTCTTTGTGTGTTACTATGTGTGTCTCTGTGTGTGTGTGTGTACGTGTGTTTCTGTGTGTGTGCGTGTGTGTGTGTGTCTCTGTGTGTGTGTTTATGTGTGTTTGTTTCTGTATGTGTGTGTGTCTCTGTATGTGTGTGTGTGTATCTGTGTTTCTGTGTGTGTGTGTGTTTATGTGTTTGTTTGTTTCTGTATGTGTGTGTGTCTCTGTGTGTGTGTTTATGTGTGTTTGTTTCTGTATGTGTGTGTGTGTATCTGTGTTTCAGTGTGTGTGTGTGTGTCTCTGTGTGTGTGTTCATGTGTGTGTGTTTCTGTATGTGTGTGTGTGTCTCTGTGTTTCTGTGTGTGTGTTTATGTGTTTGTTTGTTTCTGTATGTGTGTGTGTTTATTTGGAAACATTGAAATGAATAAGTGTTAGCATCCGCCCCATGTAGCAATCAGCTAAACCCCATCGTTAGCATGTCCACGCTGACCGGTGATTTATTAGCACACACCGCTGCGGAGATTACAGAAGCTAACGCGGCTAATTACCATGAACCGCGGTGTGTGCTAGCTCTAATGCGGTCGGCCAAGTGAATGAACACAGGCTAACGGCATGCTAACGGCTACGGCAGCGTGAAGATTGAATTATGTCAACAAATTACAATTAGCAACAGAGGCTAACACAGCGGTCCACAGTGAAAATGTGTCTCCTGAGGATATTTAACGGTTCTGTTTTTAGTTTTAGGAGTTTAGCTGTAAATACAAAAAACCCCACATTATTTTCATAGTTTTTAGGTCGAGATTTAAAGTTTAAAGCAAGATCTTTGGGTCAAATCTTATCTCATCATTTTGGACAGAAAACACATCTGAAAAGACAGATGCAAGTTTTTTTTAAAATAACATACCACTAAAAATCATGAGCTCAAAAACATCCACATTATAAAATCCTTTAAAGTAGCCATATGTAAGATTTTCATGTCAAGTCATCATTAAAGGGCCCTAATCTGTCATCATTAAAGGGCCCTAATCTGTCATCATTAAAGGGCCCTATTCTGTGATCATGAAAGGGCCCTAATCTGTTATCATTAAAGGGCCCTAATCTGTCATCATTAAAGGGCCCTAATCTGTCATCATTAAAGGGCCCTAATCTGTCATCATTAAAGGACCCTAATCTGACACCATTAAAGGGCCATAATCTGTCATCAATAAAGGGCCCTAATCTGACATCATTAAAGGGCCCTAATCTGTCATCATTAAAGGGCCCTAATATGTCATCATTAAAGGGCCCTAATCTGTCATCATTAAAGGGCCCTAATCTGTCATCATTAAAGGGCCCTAATATGTCATCATTAAAGGGCCCTAATCTGTCATCATTAAAGGGCCCTAATCTGTCATCATTATAGAGCCCTAATCTGTCATAATAATAAACTGTTTTCCAATACTTCTTTAACTGATTACAGTCGTTCAGAGATATTTGAATTTATAAAATACTTTTCCTGCCTCTAAATCTTGTTATTGTTTTCATTTCGATGTCCCGCCCTCCACCGTTTCACCAATCAGAAAGTCTGTGATCCGGGCGCCAGAACTCACCGCATGGAGCTAATCTCACTGGTAAAGTACCATGTGGCGCAGAACTAAAAAAGGTCTCGTTATGATTCTCAAATCATTAACGACAAAACAAGGAATAAAACCAGGATTTCTATCTTTGTGAAAAAGGTGTTGGTTATAGATTTGTTGTTGACAAAACTCTTGTCTATTCAGCTGTTATGGTCCCAGCTGGATTCGTCTGCATATCTGGCAACCTGAGTCAGGGAGAGTGGGAGAGGCTGCAGTACCACTTTTAGACACATTTTTACAGACTGCTGATTTTAGTGTTGTTTTAAATGTCTGTGTTTCATTTATTGACCTTTAGGAGGCGCTGTTTAAGCCCTGTGTCTCCAAGATGTCTGCTCATTCAGTTCAATGGTCTGTGCTCATCATGCTAACACCGTGGACGACATTAGCATACGCAGAAGCTCTGAACCTCCTCCTACTGCTTTTGAGCATTGTGTGTGTGTGTGTGTGTGTTTTTAATCATTGTGTTTCCTGTTTGAACAGTGTGATGCTCTGATCAACATGAAAAACATGATACAAACTATGCTTCATTATTATTATTATTATTATTATTATTATTATTATTATTATTATTAACTCTCAGAGAGGTCCCTTCCGGAAGTGGAATCTGACCCACGAGGATCTTCTTGCTGAGAAGCGAGACTGCTAACCACTCAGCCGGTGTTTTACTTAATATCCAAAGTCCATCCATCCATGTTCTTCCCCTTAATCCATGTCTGGGTGGGGGGTGGCAGTCAGAGCACCAGCCCCTCACTGATCCTCCTGCAGGTGCTGAGTTCACAGGAGCCTTGATCTTTCAGCGTGGGTTTCAGGCAAAGTGGGGTTAAGTGTCTTGCCCAAGGACACAACGGCAGCAGACATCAGTGGAAAAAGACTTGTGTTGGGCTCGAACCCAAAACCTTCAGGCTCAGGGTCCAGTGCTCTACCAACTGAGCCACTGTCGCCCATAACTACAGTAACTTAAATACATTAAAGTGTGTCTTTCCAAATTTAACCAAATTGTAACTGGATGAAAACGTATGTGGCTACAGATTTTACGTAGACAAACAATGCTAACCCACAAGCTCAGTAAAACCCAATGGGGAAGTGCTCATGGACGAAGTTGTAGAGTAAACTTAGTATCGGTCGCGCTCACATTTTGGGCTCAAACCGATCTCTGTCTGTTGCTCTCTGTGGGTTTGTGTTTAGAAACTGTCTTTGTATGAACCTGAACAACGACCAATCAGAGGCCTTCATTCATGTCAACGACCAATCAGAGGCCTTCATTCATGTCAACGACCAATCAGAGGCCTTCATTCATGTCAACGACCAATCAGAGGCCTTCATTCATGTGGCTCATGTTGACAATGTTAGTTTGCTTTGAGACGAATGCCTGTATAAGGCAGGCACACACACAGACATGTACAAACACACACAGACACACACACGTACAGACACACACACACACATGTACAGACACACACACACACACACATGTACAAACACACACCACACATGTACAAACACACACACACATGTACAGACACACACACACACACACATGTACAGACACACAGACACACATGTACAGACACACACACACACACATGTACAGACACACATGTACAGACACACACACACACACACACCTGTTGCTCGCTCCTGTTGCCCATGACAACAGCAGCACCACTGGAGCAGAGAGTGTGAAAAAGCAGAAACACTCTTCATCACATTCAATAACACACTCTGACTCTATCATGTTTGTGTTTGTTACACACAACTGTAAGTAATCACACACACACTGACACATGCCCCTCTCACTGACACATGTCCCCACCCACAGACACATGCCCCCCCTCACATGCCTCCCCTCTCTGACACTAACCCCCCCCCCTCTCTGGCACATGCAGAGCTGGACCCAAACAGACCAGGTCCATATAAAGTCTCCTCTGGTGGAGCCGTGATCTGGGGGCCCCCTGCAGCCCCTCTGTGGTACTGCTGTGGTTCCGGCTAGAGGCCCCCTGCAGCCCCTCTGTGGTACTGCTGTGGTTCCGGCTAGAGGCCCCCTGCAGCCCCTCTGTGGCGCTGCTGTGGCTCCTGTTGGGGGCCCCCTGCAGCCCCTCTGTGGTGCTGCTGTGGCTCCTGTTGGGGGCCCCCTGCAGCCCCTCTGTGGTGCTGCTGTGGCTGCGGCCCTGCTCTGTCTCCCACTCTTCTCTGTGGGCAGTTTAAAAACACTGAGTCACTGAGTTATTCTGACTGAGGCCGATTTAAACTCGACTTTATGTAACACAGAGAACGCCTCCATCACCACCTGCTCTGTCTTCTTTAGTGTTATTATCATCATTAATATTATTATTATTATTATTATCATCATTAATATTATTATATTCAATTACTTCTTATTTCCTAAACCACACAGAGAATCAACAGTTCAAACAACAGAGAGAAACCACCCAAAAACCCAGGACTGAGGCTGTAGATCCAGGACTGAGGCTTTAGACCCAGGACTGAGGCTGTAGACCCAGGAGTGAGGCTGTAGACCCAGGACTGAGGCTGTAGACCCAGGACTGAGGCTGTAGACCCAGGACTGAGGCTGTAGATCCAGGACTGAGGCTGTAGACCCAGGACTGAGGCTGTAGACCCAGGACTGAGGCTGTAGATCCAGGACTGAGACTGTAGACCCTCTCTCTGGTCTCTCTCTGGTCTCTCTCTGGTCTCTCCCTGGTCTCTCTCTGGTTTATCTCTGGTCTATCTCTGGTCTATCTCTGGTCTATCTCTGGTCCCTCTCTGGTCTCTCTCTGGTCTCTCTCTGGTCTCTCTCTGGTCTCTCTCCCTGGTCTCTCTCTGGTCTCTCTCTGGTCTCTCTCTGGTCTCTCTCTGGTCCCTCTCTGGTCTCTCTCTTGTCTCTCTCTGATCTCTCTCTGGTCTCTCTCTGGTCTCTCCCTGGTCTCTCTCTGGTTTATCTCTGGTCTATCTCTGGTCTATCTCTGGTCTATCTCTGGTCTCTCTCTGGTCTCTCTCTGGTCCCTCTCTGGCCTCTCTCTCTCTGGTCTCTCTCTGGTCTCTCTCTCTGGTCTCTCTCTGGTCCCTCTCTGGTCTCTCTCTCTCTGGTCTGACTCTCTGGTCTCTCTCTGGTCTCTCACTCTCTGGTCTCACTCTCTGGTCCCTCTCTGGTCTCTCTCTGGTCCCTCTCTTGTCTCTCTCTCTCTCTGGTCTCTCTCTGGTCTCTCTCTGGTCCCTCTCTGGTCTCTCTCTCTCTGGTCTCTCTCTGGTCTCTCTCTCTCTGGTCTCTCTCTGGTCTCTCTCTGGTCCCTCTCTGGTCTCTCTCTCTCTGGTCTCTCTCTGGTCTCTCTCTGACCTCTCTCTGGTCCCTCTCTGGTCTCACTCTCTCTGGTCTCTCTCTGGTCTCTCTCTGGTCTCTCTCTGGTCTCTCTCTGGTCCCTCTCTGGTCTCTCTCTCTCTGGTCTCTCTCTGGTCTCTCTCTGGTCCCTCTCTGGTCTCACTCTCTGGTCCCTCTCTGGTCTCTCTCTCTCTGGTCTCTCTCTGGTCTCTCTCTGGTCTCACTCTCTGGTCCCTCTCTGGTCTCTCTCTCTCTGGTCTCTCTCTGGTCTCTCTCTGGTCCCTCTCTGGTCCCTCTCTGGTCCCTCTCTGGTCTCACTCTCTGGTCTCTCTCTGGTCTCTCTCTGGTCTCTCTCTGGTCCCTCTCTGGTCTCACTCTCTGGTCCCTCTCTGGTCTCTCTCTCTCTGGTCTCTCTCTGGTCTCTCTCTGGTCCCTCTCTGGTCTCACTCTCTGGTCCCTCTCTGGTCTCTCTCTCTCTGGTCTCTCTCTGGTCTCTCTCTCTCTCTGGTCCCTCTCTGGTCCCTCTCTCCTGCTGCTGCTGCTGTAACACTGCCCTCTAGTGTCAGACCTGAGATCGCAGCTCAAACATCAGAAAACCCCATCTCAAGAAAGAAGTCTGTATTAATGTCAAAAGGTAAATGTTTAATCAGACATTTTCACATCAGGGTCACACACAGAGCTCATTGTTCTCGTCGGTAAATAAATAAATACATAAATAGTTCATAACAGCAGCAGGTAAAGCTCTGGTCCTTGTTTTATAATCATCCGGACAAAAGTGGCTCAAAAGTAAAGTGCGTTTTTCAATTAAGACATAAATCGTGTTGAGGTAAAGAGTGTGTCTTCAAGTGTCCTGCGGAGAGAGAGACACAATCCATTATTCTGTCTCTGTGTGGGGACAACAGAGGGAAAGGGAGGCGCGTTGTTTGGACCTGTGTCTGCAGCTTCTCACCACAAGGAAGAGAGGGACGTGTCAAAGTCAAAGGATCAAAACATATGTACTACTTTCAGAGAGAGAGCAGAGAAAGAGAGCATAGAAGAAAAAGAGAGCAGAGAGAGAGAGAGAGAGAGAGCAGAGAGAGAGAGAGAAAAGAGGGCAGAGGGAGAGAGAGAGCCGAGAGAGAGAGAGAGCCGAGAGAGATCGAGAAGAGAGGAGAGCTCTCTCTCTCTCGTACTGGGGGAGCTGAGGTGTGAATTTTGAACCCTAATCCTGAAAGTGGGAAGTTTGTTTGACTTTAGTTTGACCCGCTCCTGTCGACACGGGTCCAAACAACACGCCTCTCTCTGCTCTCACCATCGTGGTCGTGTCGGCGGCAAACGTGACGCCTTTCGCTCTCTCCTGAGAGCCGCTGCTGCTGCTGCCGCTCACGTAGCCTCTCCTCATGATCCCTGACCACACACAACCACATACACACACACACACATACACACACACACACACATACATACACAACCACACACAAGAACACACAAACAGACACACACAAGCACTCAGTCTCAGTAAAGCCAGGGTAACATTTTTTTTCTTCTTCTTAGGACCACCCTCTCTCAGCCAATCAGCTCACAGCCCTGTGAGTCACTGACTCTGAGGTCCCTGTGAGTCACTGACTCTGAGGTCCCTGAGAGTCACTGACTCTGAGGTCCCTGTGAGTCACTGACTCTGAGGTCCCTGTGAGTCACTGACTCTGAGGTCCCTGAGAGTCACTGACTCTGAGGTCCCTGTGAGTCACTGACTCTGAGGTCCCTGTGAGTCACTGACTCTGAGGTCCCTGAGAGTCACTGACTCTGAGGTCCCTGAGAGTCACTGACTCTGAGGTCCCTGAGAGTCACTGACTCTGAGGTCCCTGTGAGTCACTGACTCTGAGGTCCCTGAGAGTCACTGAGGTCCCTGTGAGTGACTCTGAGGTCCCTGAGAGTCACTGACTCTGAGGTCCCTGTGAGTCAGTTGTGGTCTGTCTGACTTCAGTTCCTGCTCTCACCACTGAGGGCGCTGTGCTCTGCCCTTTGCACACTGCTCCGTGAGGGGAACACGGCGGGGGGTTTGGAATGGCGTCTCTGTCGTGGGTTCAAGATGGCGGCCGGCGCCATGATGCCGGGGGGCGGAGTCTTCCCTAGACGCTCGTACAGCTGCTCGATCTCCTTCTTCTGCAGCGACTGCAGCTGGGCCACCTGCGACAGGTGACTGCGGACACACAACTGTCAGACACACACACTCACACCTGCGACAGGTGACTGCGGACACACAACTGTCAGACACACACACTCACACCTGCGACAGGTGACTGCGGACACACAACTGTCAGACACACACACACACACCTGCGACCGGTGACTGCGGACACAAAACTGTGAGACACACACACACACATATGCGACAGGTGACTGCGGACACACAACTGTGAGACAAACACACACACCTGCGACAGGTGACTGCGGACACACAACTGTCAGACACACACACACACACACACAAACACACCTGCAACAGGTGACTGCGGACACACAACTGTCAGACAGACACACACACACACCTGCGACAGGTGACTGTGGACACACAACTATCAGACACACACACACACACCTGCAACAGGTGACTGCAGACACACAAATGTGAGACACACACACACCTGCGACAGGGGACTGCGGATACACAACTATCAGACACGCAGACACACCTGCAACAGGTGACTGCAGACACACAACTATCAGACACACACACACACACCTGCAACAGGTGACTGCGGACACACAACTATGAGACACACAACCAGGACACACAGACACACAACCAGAACATTTTGGCTCTGATGGACATGGATGACCTGTTACTCACCGCTCTCGCAGCTTTCGAAGCTCCGCCCCCATTCCCGGCTCCTCCTCCTCCTCCTCGCTCTCTGATTCGTTGGAGCTCACGTCAGTCTGGGCCCTGCTAAAGTGGGATTGGCTGCCGTCTGACTCCTCCCCTCTGCTCTGATTGGTCGGTGCGGTCTGAGAGTCTGCGCTGCTGCTCTCAGAGCTGCTCTCCGATTGGTCTGGAGGCGGAGGGGGCGGGGAGTGCGGCCTGGGAGGGGGCGGGGCTTTGGACGGAGAGACCTGGAAACGTCCCACTGTAGTTCCCACAGGTTTCTTCTCTGAGAGAGGAGGGAGAGGCAAGGTTATTCGTATAGATCAATGGGTCTGTCTTAGATACTAGAGGACAATCTATTTCTGCAAAGCTTTTGTGGCATAAATTTACAAATTGGAATAAATAAAAAATGCTAACGCTAAAGACAAAATGCTGATGGATTACAGTTAACAGTGTGTTGCTATGGTAACTAGTATTTGCTTTTCCCTGGTGGAAAATCAAGCAGAACCAAAACCAGGGAAAGAAAGTGACCAAAAAGGACTACGTTTTAATTTTGCTTTCTCATTAACGAAGCAGTCAAAATGACGGCTGTGTGAGTCAAAGGTAGAACTACTCACATTTCATTAAAAAAAACAATGACATAGAACTAAACTACACATAGCAACAGATAAAGTCACAAAGTTATGAAGACCAAGAATCTACATGAGCTGCAAGAGAAGGACTCGGGAACTCAGAGACTCAGGGACTCAGACTCAGAGACTCAGACTCAAAGACTCAGACTCAGAGACTCAGAGACTCAGACTCAGAGACTCAGAGACTCAGACCAAGAGACTCATAGACCTGGAGACTCAGGGACTCATAGACCTGGAGACTCAGGGACTCATAGACCTGGAGACTCAGGGACTCAGAGACTCAGGGACTCATAGACCTGGAGACTCAGGGACTCATAGACCTGGAGACTCAGGGACTCGGAGACTCAGGGACTCATAGACCTGGAGACTCAGGGACCCATAGACCTGGAGAGTCTGAGTTTCATCCCAGGTTTCTGTGTTAAATTTACAGAGGTGTATTTCCTGAGTGCTCCTGGATGCACCCTGACCTGGGACTTAATTTGAAAGTTGTAATCTTATTTAGAGCCTTTTATTTTGGCACATTCCTGTCTTCCCCGTGGTAAAAAGACGACACGGTTTCAAACAACACAGCAACCTTTCCCACTGCCATCCCATCCACACGCCATTCAGCATGTGTCAAAGAACAAGGGAATTGGGAAAAAGCCAGGTTCTCTGTCAGGTTCTCTGTCAGGTTCTCTGTCAGGTTCTCTGCCAGGTTCTCTGCCGGGTTCTCTGTCGGGTTCTCTGTCAGGTTCTCTGTCAGGTTCTCTGTCGGGTTCTCTGTCGGGTTCTCTGTCGGGTTCTCTGTCGGGTTCTCTGTCAGGTTCTCTGTCAGGTTCTCTGTCAGGTTCTCTGTAGGTTCTCTGTCGGGTTCTCTGTCGGGTTCTCTGTCAGGTTCTCTGTCAGGTTCTCTATCAGGTTCTCTGTCAGGTTCTCTGTCAGGTTCTCTGTAGGTTCTCTGTCGGGTTCTCTGTCAGGTTCTCTGTCGGGTTCTCTGTCGGGTTCTCTGTCGGGTTCTCTGTCAGGTTCTCTGTCGGGTTCTCTGCCAGGTTCTCTGTCAGGTTCTCTATCAGGTTCTCTGTCAGGTTCTCTGTCAGGTTCTCTGTAGGTTCTCTGTCGGGTTCTCTGTCAGGTTCTCTGTCGGGTTCTCTGTCGGGTTCTCTGTCTGGTTCTCTGTCGGGTTCTCTGTCAGGTTCTCTGTCGGGTTCTCTGTCGGGTTCTCTGTCTGGTTCTCTGTCGGGTTCTCTGTCGGGTTCTCTGTCAGGTTCTCTGTCAAGTTCTCTGTCAGCTGAGGTCTGTTTTAGTTTACATTGAATACTATGGGACATTTTTCTGGCTAACGTGAATGTAGTCTGCAGTGCTACGGCGCCCCCTGTGGCCATGGGTGGGACAGGTATAAGCTAGTAATACTCTATCCAGATATTATTATAGATTGATGGGATGGATCTAAAACAACTCAAAATACATTCCCTTTAAGTAAAACTATAGATATTAGTACAAACATCAACTCTGGTCAAAGTTTTTAAATCATTGTCCGCAGTAAAAGTCTAAAAGTCTAGAGCCGGACCGAGCGGCAGTTTTTCTCCAACATGGTTTTTTTGTTTTTGTACAAAGACAGTAAATGATGTGGCACCTTCTCGACCGGGAGACAGTCTGGGAGACAGTCTTTGAGAAGGAGACGGAGGAGGAGAGATGAGCTGCAAACCACAGAAGAAGAAGAAGAGTCATAAAACCAGGAAGAGGCCACGGACGTGTGACGGTGCAGGAGACTCACGGGTCTGTTGGAAGAACCCGCGTCACTGCCAGAGTTTGGGGCTGAAAGTAGAGTTTGTGAATGTTTAAATCATGACAAATCATTAAATTCACTCAAAAGCACAGTCATGGTCTGTACATGGAGTTGGTCATTAACAAACCATGTGTTCATTTTACAGTTTGTTTACGTGTTTGATAAGTGTTGGAGGCCGATAAAGGACCCTTTCTACGTGAAAACCAGACTTTTGCAAGAACTACTTGGACTGGACAAAACAAAATGTCCTCGCGCCGTTCCTCTTCACCCTCTACACTGTGGACTTCAGACACAACACGGACGGTTGTGTCCTCCAGAAGTTCTCAGACGACTCTGCCATCATCGGACTCAGCTCCGAGGACGATGACACAGAGTACAGAGGAGTTATACAAGACTTTTTGGACTGGTGTCAGCGGAACCACCTCCTCATCAACGCGAGGAAGACCAAGGAGATGGTGGTGGATTTCCGCAGACGTGACTCTGCCGCTTCAGCTCCAGTGAACATCCAGGGAAAGGACATCGAGAGAGTGGATTCTTACAAGTACCTGGGTGTTCATCTGAACCACAAACTGGACTGGACTCATAACACAGACGCCCTCTTCAAGAAGGGCCAGAGTCGCCAGAGTCTACCTACTGAGGAGGCTCAGGTCTTTTGGAGTGCAGGGGCCACTCCTGAAGACCTTCTATGACTCTGTGGTGGCATCAGCCATCTTGTACGGTGTGGTCTGCTGGAACAGCAGTATCACAGAGAGGGACAGGAAGAAGCTGGACAAGGTCATCAGGAAGTCCAGCTCAGTCCTGGGCTGTTCCCTGGACACGGTGCAGCAGGTGGGGGACAGGAGGGTCCTGAGCAAACTAACATCTATGCTGGACCATGACTGTCGCCCCCTGCAGGACACTCTCTCTGCCCTGGAGAGCAGCTTCAGTGACAGACTAATTCACCCTCGCTGTGTGAAGGAGAGGTTCTGTAGGTCTTTCCTTCCTGCTGCTGTCAGACTGTACAATGAGAACTGCTGAGCCTGTAAATTTCATTCATCTGTAACTAAGTAAATTCTTAAATCATGTGCAATACTGCAACTTCAGAATGTCACAGAACAAAGTCACTTTACCTCATGTCACTTTACTTATATACTTTTTATCCTGCACTATTTAACTGTACAGTATATCACTGCACTACTACATATATATATTTTGACTGGTATTGAAGCATTTTCAGCATCTACAGCTAGTTATGTTAGTTAAGAAACATAGCTACTACTTATTTGTATATATTGTGTGCTCCCTGTGTGCTCTTACTACTGTCCTATATGTGCGATGCAACATCGAAATTTCCCCACTGTGGGACGAATAAAGGAATTCTTATCTGATAACAGAAGAGGTCAGAACTGTGTTTTAAATGACAAGGAACCAGAGTGGGGCCCTAATATACACTAAACGACCTGTGTAAAGTAAGGGGCACATATGACGACATGACAGGCAAATGAGATGGGTAAATTAAATTCAATTATGTGTGTTATTGTTACCCTGGATTTGTAATAATTTCAAACCAATGGAGTTCTGAGAAATTGCCCCAAAACGTTTTCAAATTTTATAAAACTACGTTGTTTTAATACGTGCTAAAACTGCTGAATATACAGTAACTTAAAATACTGCAAAAACAGTTTGTTGAAAGGCTAATGCTAATGCTGACGCTAAAGACACAATGCTAACAATTGACAGTAAACAGTTTGTTCCCTGGTGGAAAAGCTAAACCTGAGCCAGGCTTCAGCTGCCATCGTAAGAAAGCCACAGAATATTGCTGCATTAGAATTTGGCATTCAAATTAATGAAGCAGTCAAAATGACGGCTGTGGGAGTTAACGTTAGAGCAACTCACATTTCATAAATAAGAAATAATTTCAGAAAAAAGCAATGACAGAAAAAAACGTCGAATTGACTGCTCTAGGGTAAATTATATTTTATTTTACAGTAGTCCTGCATTTTGGGTTCAGTGTGTGGACAGTGTATAGACAGTGTGTATAGGCCTTGTATAGAGAGTGTATAGACAGTGTGGGGACTATATATGGACCGTGTGGGGACTGTGTGTGTAGACAGTGTATAGACAGTGTGTATAAAACTGTTTACAGAGAGTTTATAGAAAGTGCATAGACAGTGTGGGGACCGTGTGTACACAGTGTGTAGACAGTGTGTAGACAGTGTAAAGACAGTGTGGGGACAGTGTGTGTAAACGGTGTGAGGACGGTGTGGGGACCGTGTGGGGTCTGACTCACCTGCAGGGCTCTGAGTGGAGGTAAATGTAGCTGGGAGCAAAGGGCCGTGCGGCTGAAACAACAACAGGTTGTTATAGGCACTTACCGACACGTTTTAATGACAAACACACAGACATGAGTCACAGTCAGCTCCAAAGACTCTATTTCACAGCAGAGAAGAGCTCAGAACCACAGAGGTACAGAAGTAGATGTCTACATGATGTTTTCAATATGGAAATGTTCACTGCAAATGTCCACTGAGCAATGTACGTGAGTAAACTGCAATATAAGCTTTCTTCTCGCTCTCTTTGTGCTCTTAAGGTTCTTGTGAAAAATATGTTGGAAAGTGTCTATAATGCTACATTATATTGAGAAACTTGTGATTTCCTCCGGTCTCTCTCTAGTCTCTTGGGTCTCTATCTGGTCTCTCTCTACTCGCTCCAGTCTCTATCTGGTCTCTCTCTACTCGCTCCAATCTCTCTCTGGTCTCTCTCTGGTTTCTTTCTACTCTCTCCAGTCTCTCTCTGGTCTCTCTCCAGTCTCTATGGTCTCTCTCTGGTCTCTCTCTGGTCTCTCTCTGGTTTCTTTCTACTCTCTCCAGTCTCTCTCTGGTCTCTCTCCAGTCTCTATGGTCTCTCTCTGGTCTTTCTCTGCTCTCTCTCTAGTCCTGGGTGCACTGGCTGTGACTTTAGAATACTTCTTTTTAAAGTTTGTTTTGACCTTTTTATTTTCACGCGTTCCTGTCTTTGCTGTTGTAAGAAGCCGACACGGGCCCACACAACACGCCAACCTTTCCCAGTATTGTCCTGGGTCGACACATTTCAACACAGGTCAACAGTCTACAAAGACCTATAGACTCCACTTTGAACGCAAACTGTGGCCATTCTATTCCTGAGCAGTAAACTAAGTCGATGGTCTTTCTCTCGGACCGTGTGTTGATACCTGCGGGGGTGAGGAGGCCTTCTGTGGGCGGGAGAGCGGGGGAGTCGGGGGTGAGACGTACTGCCCAGACTGCGAAGGAGGGGGGATCCAGTTCTGGGACAAACTCATGGCCAAAGACAAGACGTTGGACAGGGAGAAGATTGGCTGGTCCGGGTGAGGCCAGTTCTGGGCCCCAGGCTGGTCCGGGTGAGGCCAGGTCTGGGGTACAGGCTGGTCCGAGGGAGGCCAGGTGGGACTCTGGGGTATAGGTGGGGCAGGTGCGGCAGGTGATGGGAGGGCGTACTGGTATGGATATGGAGCAGGCGGCTGAGGAGTGGAGGCTGGAAACACATTTATTCACATGTTAAAATCTGCACACACGATCCCTCCACGTCTGCTCCTATTCCTGAGGTCAGGCTTGGAAAATTCAAGTCACTTTGCAAAGTTGACGATTTGCCAACACAGATTAGAGAATCAATCAGTGTTAAAAACTAGTTCTACTACAGTTAACTTTACAGACGCACACTGCAGACAAGGTATATGTTTTTTACTTGCATGTAACAAGGAGGAGATGGCTCTACGGCTGGAAGGAGGCATCTGCAGCCTAAAGACAAGTCCTGCTTGTTTGCTCTGGAGGCGGCTTTTTTATTTCAAAGCAGATAACACATCTTCACACATGGAAAAGCCCAAAACTAGGTGAAGTTACACATTAACCACTTGTTGGACAACGTCTTGCAACATCATTTCACACAAAACCCCATTTGTGGACAATGTGGATCTTTATTAGCTTGGTTTCAACACCTCACTTTCCCCGCTCGGTCAACCCAAGCTGTCGAGACTGAATATACTTACATTCACTTTAATGATAACCCAACAGCAATTCCATTATCAATCAGTAAAACACAAGAAATGCATTGATTAAAAACACATCGAGTCGAGACAGATGTCCATAAATGTTTATAAATGTCGATACATCTGTGGCTATACTTGCAAAAGCCAGATCCTGTCTTTATCGTTCCATTCTCCTCACACGGAAGCAAGACGCCAAACACACTGGCATCAAAGTCCCCATTCAACATCATCCCTTCACTCACTTTCTCACATTCAGACCTATTGTGCATGATTTTAGGGGTAGGGGAAACCGGAGCACTCGGAGGAAACCTGCACAGACACCGTGCTGCCAGAGGGCTGGGTATCCTTTCTTTTATACAGTGGAATATAAGCTGACGTTGTGAGTTTGTGGTTACCTGAGGAGGTGTGAAAGGACTGAGAACGCAGCGGTCTGACAGGGAAGTCTCCGCCCCTCGCAGAGGCGGGGTCAGGCGTCTCTGGAAGCACAAACCACAGTGAGTGAATGATGTCGCACTATAACCACACGGACCATGAAGGAGAGTACCATGAAGAAAAGCGGAGGAATGCGAGCGCGAGCGAGGCCTTGGCTGCAACACAGAGAAAAGGGTTTATTCACAGGGTTAACTCGGTCACACTTTAGTTTAGCCCTCACTAATTAAGGATGCGCCGAGACAACTTTTCTCAAAACCAATACGAGCACTTTCATTTGTACTTGCCGATACCAAATACCGATATGAGTAATGCATTGTGCGTCCTGGGAATTACTAAAACTAATACAAGTGAAATTCAAAATGTTTTATTTCTCATTTCCACAATAAGAAAACTTTCACTTTTCCTTTAAAAAACTGCCATACGGTCAGCATCCTGTTCTCTTGCTGCTAGCTAGCTTTCTCGCTGCCGACTTCAGGAGATCACCACGGCAACAGGTGCTAAAGTAAATTTAAAAGGTGGGTATCCGTTGCCGGCATCGGGTCCTATGCCATGAGTATGAGTACGAGTACAAGGCCAATACCCGATACCAGTATTGGTGCATCCCTAAATTAAGATTAAGATTATTAGATCCTTTATTGGTCCCACAGCGGGGAAATGTCAGTGTTGCATCACTAGTTACAGAACAATAGGAATGAGGAGCACACAGCACAAGATAAATGAACAATAACTCTATACTAAATAAGATTTCTAACTGTAGAATAATAAAAGAAGCAAGTTTGAAACAGCTAACAGCAATTTAAGTTCTAATAAGTGTATAATTTATAGTTAATTATCTCTTAATTGGTATTTATTAAGCAGTTATTAGTCCTTATTCTACATCTAAATAACTACTAATTGACACTTTCTCATGACGGTCAGGGTCAGAGTTGCAGTCGCTGAGAGCAAATCTAAAGTATTGCAGAAAATTAAAAATTAAACAGTTTGAGATTCTGAGAGACACACTCGTCACCTGTGGTTCCTGAAGGGGGCGGGGCTCGTTCACAGACTCCGCCCTCTTGATGACCTCATACATGCGGTCGATGAACGCGTCACGCTCCGGTTTCAGGATGAAGTCTCGGTGGATCTGAAAACAGGTTCGTTTAGAGAGAACTACACTTTATAGACCTCAGCTTTGAACCATGTCACAACACTGCTGCTCGACAAAGACCTGGAGTTGTGTTTAGCTCTATCCACACTAACATCGGGAAACTTCTGGTACAAACACACAAAACAGTCTTGTCTGCGATATGGATAAAAACTCAATAATGGCAACGCATGTGAAGAACCCTGACTACTGCCTATTGATAGTAGTTTTGAATTTGTAATGTAATGTGTTGGTCAGCAGCGCCCTCCTCTGGCCATGAGAGGCTATTACGTGTGATTTTGATAGCCACGTTTGCGAATCCAAGATGGCAGAACGCAACACAAACCTGTTCAGATGATAATTTGTGTGAATATGTGTTTCTGTGAGTGTTTGGAGTATAATTTGTATATTTTGTTTTAACATAAGTGAGTTCAGAGTCTAGTTCTCTGTTAGCATGTCATATTGTGTAGCCTGCCGATGTTTAGGTAAGAGCCAACGCAACATATTTTGTATTTACGGTTTTTACGGTTGGTCTAAAGAGGACAGTGGTTGTAGCCGTTCTTCCATAAATCAGAAAAAAAGGAACAAGTCTGTTTCTTGGAGCGCCGTTATCTCGCAGTCTCGCCGCGCAAAGACAATAGCTTGGGGCGAGGTCTGACTTATTTCTATTAAAGTCCCAGTTAGCTTGATTCTGTCGGTCTGACTCCGGTTTGTTTGGACTCTATTCCAGCGAGAAGACATTTTGTGTTGACGATATTATTGTGGATGAAGCTAAACAACCTCAGGTCTGTTTACGACAAGAGACAGTTTGGAACATGATTGTAAACTGTATACATGGAGTGGACGAGTGTGACATCACTTTAGTGTTAGCCTTAATGTGCAAGAGGCAGATTAGAACATGAGCTAGCTGGAGGCTCTTTACTTATATTGGTATTTGTTCCGCAGAGCTAGCTTTGCTCCGTAACTGGGGCAGACATGTTGGCGTTTCCTCCGATAATGGAGACATCTGATTGGTCAATCCTTAAATGGCTCATAGCTGGATCATACAGAGCACTAAACCACTGATTTTTTAAGACCAAAATGGTGCCTGTGACGCAAGCAGTTACTGAGTTAGAGGAGTAAAACAGGAGCCAGAGCGAGCTAGCCTGGTCGTACCACACCATAGTACAAATTACATTTCGTACTAAGGTCTGGATTAGCTCCATTGACTCCGTTAACAGGTGGAAGGGGCTAAATTCTTTTGCAGATTGAAACCATTGGATTTGAGTTTACTGTGACGTATGTAATGAGTCGTTAGCATTTAGCCTAGCCATCTCCTTTACCTCTAACGAAGCCCGTGGGGAGTAGCGCCACAATATTTGCCAACAATTACCATTGCTAAACATATGTTCCTCTTGCTTTGGCTTCAAATTCTTGATAGAACCAGAACGGACTATTTCGTCAATCGCATTCTTTGCCATTTCCAAACTACAACCTGTCCGTTCGGTGCAAACTCTTGACGTCACCGACACCTACCTACAACACCCGCCTCCCGCGCTCGCTGATTGATCGTATGGGAATCAACCGATGTAAATGCAGACACTGGGACTAGACCCAGACGGTACATGCAGGGAAATTATTATTGACCGGAGTTTACGGATGGCTAAGGCCAGGCTAAGTTGGGGCAAAATGTTGATCAAATTTGATTTCCCCTTTAGGCCTCATTGTGCTAGCGGGTTAGCATTGTCCATTTATATACAGTCTATGAACATGATTCTAAGAGAGAAACAGACAAAAATATTAAAGTGACAATGAGATTTAACGAATGCTCCGTGCTAAGTCCCGCCCCCCTCACCATGACGGAGGCGATGTCTTCGATGTTGTCCGCGTCCAGGTCGAACTTAAAGGTGACCAGTTTGTTGTCGTGCGTGTGCAGCTGACACTCCACCACGCGCTCGCTCAGGGCCGTGATGCGCAGGCGGGCGCGCTTCTGGAACGCTTTGGCTTCAGCGCGCCGCGTCATCTGAACGCTGCGCTCCGATTGGCTCTCATCCCTGTCACTCATGCCAGACATCACATCGGACGCAGAGCTGGGAAGAGAGACAGAAGCGTAGAGGTCATCGTGGTGGAATAGTAGGCGGAGACCGGAGCGTTTGCTAAAGCAGTGTGTATGATTCCAAAGTTCATGAGAAACCGTGTCTCTTTATTAGTACAATTTAATGATATAAAATAAGAGTCATGTACAAATACAAAATACAATACAAATGTATTCTTGTATAGCCCTAGGTTACAACAGAAGTCATCTCAGAGACTTAACAAAACCATTGAAATCACCAACACAGGTCAGAGAATCAACAGTTAAAACACATGAAGAATATAAAGCACACACAGAATCTACATGTTGTAGAATGCTAAAGTGTCCTGATCATCACCAATCCTTTCTGTTGGACACTAACTGTCCAACAAGACCCTCCTGCATCCCCAAACCAGTCTGTTTGGGGAAACTGAATGGGACCATTTCTACTGTGTTTACATTGCATGTGAAATCAGAGACTGAATCCAACTGAGACAAGACCAGCAGCTGCGTTTAAGAGCGCAAGGAAACCTTAGTTACGGGTTTAAATGTAAAGAAATATTATGCATTATGTTTTACCTTTTGTTAATGCTGATTCAAGCCACAATTGCCTTGACAAAACCACACAGGCAAATATTAGTTTCTTACTTCCAAGTGAATAGTGACTGAGAAAGAGGATCTGGATGAAGCCAATCACAGCCTTGTGCTCGTCCGTCTCGGTCACTACTGACTTCTGCTCCTCGGTTGGGATCACACCTCCATACAAGGTAACAATGCTCAAAAGCTTCGAGGAAGCCACTCCTTATTTACATATAAACAATGTGTCTGTGGTATACAGACCTCAAAAGCCCTTGCCAGGGGGCTAAAGGTTACTTCCCCTTCCTGGCCCATAATGCCAAACGGTGAGTTGCCTTAAATAAATGTTAAGCACATTCTTATTCATTTAATTGATAATATAAACATAATTTCTATCACATCTCCCCCCTGTTTATGATTTTAATGAATTACCAATTCAACATCTAGTACTACATCTCTTCACAGTTTTCTGTAATACCTTCATAGGAAACTTACACTCAGAGGGAAATGTCATTATCATTATGTACAACAGTTGTGTGAGCTAACAAGGCTTGGGATTGATCTGAATACAGTGTATCAACTATTGCTGTGTTAATCATTTTGCTGGTTAAAGACTTAACACCTCCCCTTGCTGTGCGATTGACCTTACTTCATGTTGACACTCCCACCAGAGCAGCGGTGAAACCACGATAACTGTCACTGAAATCAACATCATTTTCACAGTTCTGCGATTGAGTCCATGTTGTGCGGACAACACTTAAAGTTGTTTAAACCGTCTTCCTTGTGCCTCTGAAACCACTGGAGGATCCCCCTGCTTCACTGACGGTTGAGACGAGCAGGTTCTGCCCCCCTTTGTAGGTCAGCCTTCCCCTCGGCAGTGGCCGGCACAAGATCCTTCAGATTTCTCAACTTGCAGTGTGAGAGATGAATCCACGTGGGCCTTTCTGCGATCTTTCCAGCGGTGGGTGTCGTCAGAAGCACTTGATACGGTCCTTCCCACCTCGGACTAGACCAGCACTTCCGTTTGATGACTTTCACGAACACCCAGTGTCCGACTCGAACAGGCAGCTCCTGTGCACAAAACGGTTGACTCGGAACATTATTTGTTTCCTGGCAAGCTCTAGTCAACAATGTCTTCCCCACTGGTAATATTCCCTTCATTAACCCAACGTCCCTGGACCCTTTTGACCACACCTTCTTTGGACCTTGCTCAAACCCCTCTTCTTCTGCATCACATATGACCATTTGTCATGCAATGCCTTGGTCAGTCAGATGTACTGCTGGGATACATAATACTGTCCAATTTAATTTTTGTTTTCTCCAGCCAGTTGTTTTACTCAAGTAAACTCCTACTTTGTTGTCTTTTTCCCAATCTCCAATTGATTCTACATCACCAACAAAGGCATTGTTATAACTCCACTCTGCCTCTGGGTGTTTTGATGTAGACATATGCAGATTTTGCACTGCCTCCATGAGTTGTTTTACTGCTTGTGGTACCCCTACAGAAACTTGTTTTGTCTCTCCAGTAAATATCTCTAATTAGCACCCGCTGTGGGTCTAAACTTTTAACCAGTTTATCATAAGCTGGATCACCTCCTGGAGATGTTTTGAATCTCAGAATGACATGTAACTCATAATTTTGTTTGACTGTGGCACCTGTTGTACAGGGAATCTCACTGCTTGCACCAAATGATCTTCTGTTGTAAAAGCAACAAACTTCACCTTGTTCTTTTTCTTTTTTATCTGTTTGTCTCTACACTTTGCAGCTTCCAGCCACAACTCTACCATTTTCTGTTCATGCATTTCTTTTTCTATTGCCTTTTGTGGTAATTAGATAGCTATAACGTGATCTACCCTTAGAACAACGACCCGATTGTGTATCTGCTATGATTGTGTGTCCATGTTCTGTTCTTTCGTTGTCTTATATGACACGAATGGTTATCCATTTATGACGTATGTGTGACGTAAACGTTGACTATATAAACCATATCCTGAATATGTTCTGTCTGAAAAAACCACTGAAAAAGCCACTGAGAAATCCTGAAAGAACTGAGAATAAACATCCAAGCTCTGGTGCGCCTTGATCCCGTCTCTGTGTGCTTGATTTTCCACACTCCCTTCTGGATTTAAGTCTCAAGCTAACCTGCATCACAAGCATTTCACACTCTTTTATAGTTACTGTAAACTACCTTCAAACCCATATTTCTGTGCCCAGGCTTTCAAGTACTTAACTGCCTCTGAATTTTGTTTTTGCATAAACTTAGCATCTCCTTCTAATGCTTTTTTTAGCACAGGACAAACCCATATTTGGTGTTTAGTTGTTGTCTGTAAACTATTGAATATACAACAGTGAATATTAATTACACATTTGTAAACGATCTTGTGGAATGCCTCATGGACCAAATTACGTCCCGGACTTCTTAAAAGATAACCTTGTTATCCACGGCCTTTACAGTCTATAAGAGTCCCCGACTCTTGTTATCTCAGACCTGTATTTATTTGAGTCCCCGACTCAATAAGAAAAACCAAACTTTCCTGTCTTGGCAATGTCAGGAACGATGGCTTTTTTGTCTTCAACCTGAATTCGAAACTGATCGAAGTTCAATGGAGACGTCACTGGAGTTGTCTTCTGGTCTGCAAGCTCCACGCTGTTGTTGTTAGAACGCCATCTCAGAAACGCTCAGCCCCGAAAAATAAGGTATGTTGACAGACGGCTCGAAGGACCAAAAATCTTAATGCTGATTCAAGCCACAATTGCCTTGACAAAACCACACAGGCAAATATTAGTTTCTTACTTCCAAGTGAATAGTGACTGAGAAAGAGGATCTGGATGAAGCCAATCACAGCCTTGTGCTCGTCCGTCTCGGTCACTACTGACTTCTGCTCCTCGGTTGGGATCACACCTCCATACAAGGTAACAATGCTCAAAAGCTTCGAGGAAGCCACTCCTTATTTACATATAAACAATGTGTCTGTGGTATACAGACCTCAAAAGCCCTTGCCAGGGGGCTAAAGGTTACTTCCCCTTCCTGGCCCATAATGCCAAACGGTGAGTTGCCTTAAATAAATGTTAAGCACATTCTTATTCATTTAATTGATAATATAAACATCATTTCTATCACACCTTTAAAAATTATAACATTAAAGGTATAAAGAAGAATTTTCTACTTCCGGGTGGATCATCAAGACTATTGGTCCTCACAACTGTCAATCATTCTGTCGATAGTTCTGTCGGTAGTTCAAAAAGTGGAGAGGGAGCGGTTCTTTCCTAAAAATTGGGAAAATACACCTACGGTACATATCTTTCATGTTTACTTAATTTCATGTTTTAGAATGTGAAACATATCAGCAGAAAATATCTGGTGAAACAAGTATGAACGGCTTCATACTTGCTCTCGGGCTTATCGCCATGTTTGCTTCAATAAAGACGGTCTCTGTCAGTTAATAAATATAAAAGGTGCTGTTAGAACTTCTGCGTCCTGGTGTTTACCTTTCGACCGGTGAAGAAAACCCACTCATGGACCCAGGGACTCGCTCGGGATTCTGGGAAACGGCAATACTCTGTGGGAAAAAAGTAACTCCTGTTTATCACATCGACTAAAACTGCTGAACTTGCACGGCGTTCTCTCACCTTTGGATAGCGCAGCACGGGCAGCGGCGGTGGCTTCGAGTTACGCTTGAACGGCGGGAACAGCCCAAGGAACGGGGCATAAAAGGGGGCGGGACTTATGACAGGAGGGGCGAGTTTAGCGACAGCAGGGGCGGGGCTAACTTGTGTCGCATTGTAATTGTACGCAGCAGTGGTTGCGCTGGTGCTAGCTTGTGCCGGGTTATATGCTAATGAGGTGGTGTTGCGCGGTGGAGGGGCGGGGCTTTGCAAATTATCTGCAGGGTTATACGAATGAAAGGAGCTTCTTGACGACGCCGGAGCCAAACTTTCTTGATTATAGGATAAAGAGGTTGTGTGTCTGGACCCTGCTGATTGGCTCGTAGCAGCAGAGGCGGGGTTATAAGAATAGGAGGTGGAGTTTCGTCTGGGAGGGGCGGGGCCTAGTGTGAAAGAGGCGGGGCTAGTGGCTAGGGAGGCAGAGTTTCTGACAGGAAGCACAGGGCTTGAGATTTGAGATGATTGGGAGGGGCTCAAGACGGAAGGGGAGGAGTTGATGCCCTGGGGGGCGGGGCTTCGTAAGGGGGAGGCGGATGTGGGCGGGGCTTCGGTGATGCTCGACAAACCGGAGGAAACAGATGATCCACTTTCAGCTGAAGAAAGAAAGAAACAGTAGTTCAAAGATATGATTTTCCGTTAACCATCACCCTGTGGATCTTACTTGAGGAGGTGGAGCCTGGACGTCGGTCTTCACCCACGTTTCGGCTGGAAACACCACTGATCCCAGAATCCACTGGGCTCCAACTGGACCCACCGGACGAAGCCTGAGACCGGCCTGGGTCTGAAGGCCAGTCCTGGAACCACACACAATCTTTGTTTTAATGATAATAATGAATTCATCATTCTTTATGCTTTTCTGAATTCTCAAAAACGCTTCACATCATTATTCATTCACTCCATACTCAGTGGTGTAAAAGTACTGCTGTAGCCATAGCTGCCCTGGGGCACAGTGACAGGCCCCTCCCACCACCACCAACCATTCACACACACACACACACACACACACACACACACACACACACACACACACCAGACTCATTCTAAAGTGGGTGAAGTGTCTTGCCTAAGGACACAACCACGGTTTGGCACTTTACAGCCGCAGCCGCCCCACTGTGGCACCTGGTGATCCAGAGGTCTCCCATCACAGTACTAACCAGGCCCTGCCCTGCTTAGTACCCCCCATAGATCAGGCTTTCTCATACAAGTTTGGCCACATACATATAATGAGATGAAGGAAGTATTTGCAAAGATATATTTTTTCAGTGCAGGAGAATGAGAAGCACTGTCCCCTCTCACATGCATTAGCACCTGAGTGACAGGAGTGGTGGGCGGGCTCAGTAGTGACTCTAGCCTCTGATTGGCCAACTCATCGTCCTCGTTTGCGCGCTGCGTTCTCTCGCGCTGCCTCTTGATGGCGCTCACTCTGTACCTGATGGCTTTGGCCACAGGTTTGTAGTCCACCTCGCTCACGAAGCCCAGGATCACCTGCAGACAGATTACATATGTAACAATATTTATTTATGTAAACACCAGGATCGTGGAAAGCACAAAGCCATAGATTTTTAAAACCTACATTTGTGTGACACAAACAGTTACTGAGTTAAAATAAATTAATTTTCAAAGCAAGTGGCAAAACTTCACTGTTAGCCTTCATAAAGCTAGCTTGTTAGCATCGTGCATGTACACACTGTGGGTTAAGCTTAAATTAGACTGTATTCTTTCATATTATTGTCATATATTGAAAACTATAAAAGCTAAAGTTAGCAGCTAAAGTTATTTATGACTAGTGTTTTTATTTAATATAGTTTGTTGAACCCAAAACAACATTGGCTAACACTTTAGATTAGCCTCCACTAGTTAACAGCTAATGAAATACTAATTAGCGTTCTCTAACCCTAACCCTAATCCACAGGGAAAGTGTCAGTGAGTAGTTAGTTAGATGGTAAATAAGGCCATGTAGTATAAATACCTATTAAGAATTAACCATAAACTATACATTAAATAGATGTGAATTAGTATGGGCTAAACTGATCCGGTGTCAATCAGCTTGGACACTTTAGCTTGTATTTTATTTTTTATTTTTACTACTACTGGACACCTGAAATTCTCCTACGGGGATCAATAAAGTATCTATCTATCCGTCTGTCTATCTATGTATCTATCTATCTATCTCTCTCTCTCTCTCGGTCGTACCATGTCCTGGGCCACCACTTCGGGGCTGTCTTTGTTCAGGTCGAACAGGAACTCGATGGCGTTGCTGTCCTTGTATTTCCCGTGCAGTTTCCGGTTCCCGTCCATCTTGAGCAGCAGCAGGATCGCCCCCTTCAGGCCGTCGTCTTCCTCTGCGGCCTCCACCTTCACGCCCAGCTCCTCCTCGAAGAACCGGTGCTCCATGAGGTCCGTCACCGTGAACCTGAAGGGCGAGACGGAAACAAGAACAGACACGGTTAGTAAGAGGTGAGCGGGGAGAGAGAAGGTGAAGAAGGTTTACAACTGCACAGAACGCAACGAGCCGTGGAGCTGTGTTCTGGTGAACGAAGCTCTCACCGTCAGAGTTTGGGCTGTTGCTTGTGCTTCTCTTTCTTTTATCAAGTTGTCCTCGAGAAACCAAGTTGAAAAATTGCCTGTATTTCTCTCTCTCTGGTCTCTCTGTCTGGTCTCTCTCTAGTCTCTCTCCGGTCTCTCTCCGGTCTCTCTCTGGTCTCTCTCTGGTTTCTTTCTGGTATCTCATTCTGGCTTCTCTCTACAGTCTCTCTCTGGGCCCTATATGGTCTCTCTTTTTCTGGTCCCTCTTTGGTCTCTCACTTTAGCCCCTCTCTCTGGTCTCTCTTTCTGGTCTGTCTCTCTCTGGCCTCTCTTTGGTCTGTCTCTCTCTTGTCTCTCTCTGGTCTCTCTTTGGTCTCTCTTTCTGGTCCTTCTCAGGTCTCTCGCTTTCTGGTCTGTCTTTGGCCTCTCTCTCTGGTCCCTCTCTGGTCTCTCGCTCTCTGGTCTCCCTCTGGTCCCTCTCTGGTCTCTCCCTGGTCTCCCTCTGGTCTCACCTCTCGCTGCTGTTAGGGCGGATGCATCCCTCGATGATCTCCTTCAGCTCCGGAACCTTCACTCTGTTGAAACTGTCCGGTTTGATCCCCTGCACACACATGGTCCACACACATGGTCCACACACCAGTCAATACATAACCAACAATAATTCTTTCTGATACTACTTTCTGGTCTCTCTAGTCTCTCTCTCTGGTCTCTCTCTGGTCTCTCTCTCTGATCTCTCTCTGGTCTCTCTCTGGTCTCTCTCTCGTCTCTCTGGTATCTCTCTGGTCTCTCTCTCGTCTCTCTGGTATCTCTCTGGTCTCTCTCTGGTCTCTCTCTGGTCTCTCTCTGGTCTCTTTCTGGTCTCTCTCTGGTCTCTCTCTCTGGTCTCTCTCTGGTCTCTCTCTGGTCTCTCTCTGGTCTCTCTCTCTGGTCTCTCTCTGGTCTCTCTCTGGTCTCTCTCACGCTGGTGACTTTCTTGTAGATCTGAGCAGCGTTGTTGCACTCAGAATATGGATATTCAGACGTGGCCATCTCCAGGATACACATCCCGAAGGCGTAGACGTCCACCGCCTCGTCGTACTTCTCCTCGTACATCTCTGGAGCCATGAACTCCGGGGTCCCTGAACACACCACGGAATAACACAAAGACCAGTGAACGCAACATGAGAAAACACATGGACCAGTGAGACCAGAGAGAAATGTTTGAATTTGGGAAGAGGCCCGCTTCCTCCATCTGTCACCAAACCTTCAAACCGTTCATTCAACCAACCGAGAAACCGAACTTTCAATCCTCAACCATGAAACTCCAATAAAAACCATGTGTTATAAGTTCCTGGTCCTAAACTCAGCAGATCCCTCCCTCAGTGTGGGTCTCTCTGAGGTTTCTCACTTTTCACCCAGTGGGTTTTTAGAGTTGATTTTTCTGATGCAGGAGGCTTGAAGGTAGTGCTTCTCAAATAGAGGGCCCCCGTACCGGAATAAAGTGTAATTGCACATCCACTACAGCAGTTAGCAGTGGCACTCTCAGTGTCTGAGTGAGAGTCTATGGAGGGAGGAGGAGTCCTCTAGCAGTGATCCCCCCCCCCCCCCCCCCCCCCCCCCATTATTTGGGGGGAACACGTGACTGCGGGGAACTTGTTTTTTGCTGTACGTCCTCAAACGGGATTCCACACGCGCTGGTGCCGCAGCGGACTGATTCCCGGAGCGTGGTCGCTTTGAAGTGAATAACAGCGGTTCCCGCGTCCGGCGTGTCATGTGACCAGCGCGGCCAAAGCAAGGTCATGTGACCAGCGCGGCCAAAGCAAGGTCATGTGACCAGCGCGGCCAAAGCAAGGTCATGTGACCAGCGCGGCCAAAGCAAGGTCATGTGACCAGCGCGGCCAAAGCAAGGTCATGTGACCAGCGCGGCCAAAGCGAGGTCATGTGACCAGTGCGGATCTTTGTGCAACCTGTGGATGCGATAAATACACTGCTGTGTATTCCTATCGCCTCTGAGCCGGAAGGTCGTAGATAAGAAACCACCACAAGACCTTCTCCATCGACTCCCACTGATGTCTGCTGTGGTTGTGTCCTTGGGCAAGACACTTAACCCACTTTTGCCTGAAGCTCCTACTGACAGATCCAGTCTATGCCCTCACAGACAGAGCAGCCTCCTGTGGACACCTGCAGGAGGATCAGGGGCTGGTGCTCTGACTGCCACCCCCACCCAGACATGGATAAAAGGGAAGAAGATGGATGCTTCTAAAAACTGTCTCGCCCTCTCGTCTTTGCTCCGGGACTCACCGATCACGCTCTTGGCGAAGGAGTTCTTCTTGAGCGTGGCGAGCCCCAGGTCCCCGATCTTGACGGAGGCGCTGGGGCCCGTGATGAAGATGTTGTCGCACTTGAGGTCCCGGTGGAGGATGGGGGGGGAGCGGGAGTGGAGGAACTGCAGCCCCTTCAGGATCTCATAACTCCACCGCTGCAGCAGCTTCAGCCGGATGTGACGGAAGCGACGCAGGTATCTGAAACACAGGAGAGGAAACTGAAGCAGAGACTGAAGCAGAGACTGAGGCAGAGACTGAAGCAGAGACTGAAGCAGAGACTGAAGCAGAGACTGAGGCAGAGACTGAAGCAGAGACTGAAGCAGAGACTGAGGCAGAGACTGAAGCAGAGACTGAGGCAGAGACTGAGGCAGAGACTGAAGCAGAGACTGATGCAGAGACTGAAGCAGAGACTGAAGCAGAGACTGAAGCAGAGACTGAGGCAGAGAGTGAAGCAGACACTGAAGCAGAGACTGAGGCAGAGACTGAAGCAGAGACTGAAGCAGAGACTGAAGCAGAGACTGAGGCAGAGACTGAGGCAGAGACTGAGGCAGAGACTGAGGCAGAGACTGAAGCAGAGACTGAAGCAGAGACTGAAGCAGAGACTGAGGCAGAGACTGAGGCAGAGACTGAGGCAGAGACTGAAGCAGAGACTGAAGCAGAGACTGAAGCAGAGACTGAATTAAAGACTGAGGCAGAGACTGAGGCAGAGACTGAGGCAGAGAGTGAAGCAGACACTGAAGCAGAGACTGAAGCAGAGACTGAAGCAGAGACTGAGGCAGAGACTGAAGTAGAGACTGAAGCAGAGACTGAGGCAGAGACTGAGGCAGAGACTGAAGCAGAGACTGAGGCAGAGACTGAAGCAGAGACTGAAGCAGAGACTGAAGCAGAGAGTGAAAGCAGAGAGTGAGGCAGAGACTGAAGCAGAGACTGAAGCAGAGACGGAAGCAGAGACTGAAGCAGAGACTGAGGCAGAGACTGAAGCAGAGACTGAAGCAGAGACTGAGGCAGAGACTGAAGCAGAGACTGAAGCAGAGACTGAAGCAGAGACTGAAGCAGAGACTGAAGCAGATCTGAGGCAGAGACTGAAGCAGAGACTGAAGCAGAGACTGAGGCAGAGACTGAAGCAGAGACTGAGTTAGAGACTGAAGCAGAGACTGAAGCAGAGACTGAAGCAGAGACTGAGGCAGAGACTGAAGCAGAGACTGAATTAAAGACTGAGGCAGAGACTGAGGCAGAGACTGAGGCAGAGAGTGAAGCAGACACTGAAGCAGAGACTGAAGCAGAGACTGAGGCAGAGACTGAGGCAGAGACTGAAGCAGAGACTGAAGCAGAGACTGAAGCAGAGACTGAGGCAGAGACTGAGGCAGAGACTGAGGCAGAGACTGAAGCAGAGACTGAGGCAGAGACTGAAGCAGAGACTGAGGCAGAGACTGAAGCAGAGACTGAAGCAGAGACTGAAGCAGAGACTGAGGCAGAGACTGAAGCAGAGACTGAAGCAGAGACTGAAGCAGAGACTGAAGCAGAGACTGAAGCAGAGACTGAAGCAGAGACTGAAGCAGAGACTGAAGCAGAGACTGAGGCAGAGACTGACGCAGAGACTGAGGCAGAGACTGAAGCAGAGACTGAGACAGAGACTGAAGCAGAGACTGAAGCAGAGACTGAAGCAGAGACTGAAGCAGAGACTGAAGCAGAGAGTGAAAGCAGAGAGTGAGGCAGAGACTGAAGCAGAGACTGAAGCAGAGACTGAAGCAGAGACTGAAGCAGAGACTGAGGCAGAGACTGAAGCAGAGACTGAAGCAGAGACTGAGGCAGAGACTGAGGCAGAGACTGAAGCAGAGACTGAAGCAGAGACTGAGGCAGAGACTGAGGCAGAGACTGAAGCAGAGACTGAAGCAGAGACTGAAGAAGAGACTGAAGCAGAGACTGAAGCAGAGACTGAAGCAGAGACTGAGGCAGAGACTGAAGCAGAGACTGAAGCAGAGACTGAAGCAGAGACTGAAGCAGAGACTGAGGCAGAGACTGAAGCAGAGACTGAAGCAGAGACTGAGGCAGAGACTGAGGCAGAGACTGACGCAGAGACTGAGGCAGAGACTGAAGCAGAGACTGAGGCAGAGACTGAAGCAGAGACTGAAGCAGAGACTGAAGCAGAGACTGAAGCAGAGACTGAAGCAGAGAGTGAAAGCAGAGAGTGAGGCAGAGACTGAAGCAGAGACTGAAGCAGAGACTGAAGCAGAGACTGAAGCAGAGACTGAGGCAGAGACTGAAGCAGAGACTGAAGCAGAGACTGAGGCAGAGACTGAGGCAGAGACTGAAGCAGAGACTGAAGCAGAGACTGAAGCAGAGACTGAGGCAGAGACTGAGGCAGAGACTGAAGCAGAGACTGAAGCAGAGACTGAGGCAGAGACTGAGGCAGAGACTGAGGCAGAGACTGAAGCAGAGACTGAAGCAGAGACTGAAGCAGAGACTGAAGCAGAGACTGAGGCAGAGACTGAAGCAGAGACTGAAGCAGAGACTGAGGCAGAGACTGAGGCAGAGACTGAAGCAGAGACTGAAGTGTACAGGGACTAGCTTTTTATAAACTATATTCCATTATTGTTCATTATCAAAAACAGAGCTTTAGCTGTAATATTAGGAACTTCTTGCATAAACATGTGGCCCCTCCCCTTCTGGTCTGAACCATAGACTGTAATAACGGACGTAGTCTCGCCTATCTCCGGCGTTCAAAGAAATGGGCCAAAAATTGGGCTTTCATGGAGTGATTCAAAATGGCCGCGGGGGCTGGAAAATGTGAAAAAACGCATCTGTGCATGCGCCAGATGCACAAGCTCCATTCATTTAAACAAGTGACTTCTAAAGTCCACAGCGACTAAACTAGACTGGTCCAGAACACTTCCGGGTCCACCCCCACAGGCCCGGGGTGGTATTGGAGCATGTGAGCGCACGTCATTTTGGCAACTTCTAAATCAGGGGTCTCCAAACCTTTCTGATAATAGCTCTGCAGTCACACCGGCCCTTTGAGGACCGTTTTGGAGACTGCTGTGAATACTCTGTTTTAAAACTCATGAAATAAGCAGTTTCTGAACCGGTCGTACCTTATTTATTTATTTTTTTCAATAAACAACACTTGTAGTTTCACACAACAATCTAATTTCATCTCATGTTTTGAATCTTTTGTGTGAGAAAGATCCCTGTGAGCCCTAATGTGCCTCTTCAAGTCTATTCTAGTCTAGTCTAGTCTAGTCTAGTCTAGTCCAGTCCAGTCCAGTCCAGTCCAGTCCAGTCCAGTCTAGTCTAGTCCTTTCTTTTTCCCTTTTCCGTCTGAAAATGCTGATCTGAAGTTGTGACAAAAACATGAAAACTAAGTCTAGAACCAAACAGTTTCAGAGCCAGGACATACAGTGACAGGGATTGTGTTGTTGATTGAAAGTCAGGTTCCCCAGCTTTAAACCCCCTGTGTTTGCGTCTCACGTCTTGAGCGTCCCGGAGGTCATGAGTTCGGTGACCAGCACGGTGCAGCGCTGTCCGCTGGAGCTGACCTTCCACCAGTCCAGGAAGCGCACGATGTTGGGATGCTGCAGCGCCTTCAGCATCTGCACCTCCTCCGAGAACCGCTGCCTCTCGGAGCGCGACAGCCGCTGGGTCTGAAACACACACACACCTCGGTCTCAGCGTGGTCCCAACCGCTGGGTCTGAAACACACACACACCTCGGTCTCAGTATGATCCAAACCGCTGGGTCTGAAACACACACACACCTCGGTCTCAGTATGATCCAAACCGCTGGGTCTGAAACACACACACACACACTGGGGGCCGTCGATCTTCAGCCACGCCCACGTCCTTTTCCAGCAGGAAGTTTGGTTTGGCTCTGATCGGTTATGGCAGAATTATGTCTGAACAGAATCAGACCGGACCAATCAGAATATGGGGGCGGGCTTTAGACGATGATTGACAGCTGAGCAACAGTGAGGCAAGCAGACACCGAGCCGGACTGAGATTTGGGCAGACTTCCAGAACACCGTATCGTCTGATCTGCCTGAGACGCTTTAATCACGGGGTCCTGGTTTGTTAGGCCATGGGACTCTGAGGAGCACAGGGACTGGCCTCCTGCTGGGACTCTGAGGAGCACAGGGACTGGCCTCCTGCTGGGACTCTGAGGAGCACAGGGACTGGCCTCCTGCTGGGACTCTGAGGAGCACAGGGACTGGACTCCTGCTGGGACTCTGAGGAGCACAGGGACTGGCCTCCTGCTGGGACTCTGAGGAGCACAGGGACTGGCCTCCTGCTGGGACTCTGAGGAACACAGGGACTGGACTCCTGCTGGGACTCTGAGGAGCACAGGGACTGGCCTCCTGCTGGGTCTCTGAGGAGCACAGGGACTGGCCTCCTGCTGGGTCTCTGAGGAGCACAGGGACTGGCCTCCTGCTGGGACTCTGAGGAGCACAGGGACTGGCCTCCTGCTGGGTCTCTGAGGAGCACAGGGACTGGACTCCTGCTGGGACTCTGAGGACCACAGGGACTGGACTCCTGCTGGTCCCAGAGTGAGGACTAAACATGGGGAGGCAGCCGTTCAGAATCATGCAGCAAAAGTCCTGAACAGTCTTCCTGAAGATGTGAGACAGGCCTCTACTCAAATCCAGGTTAAAAACAGTTTAACCTGGATTTTTCTGGATTGTACCTTTACTCTGTTACTTTGATGTACTTGATTACTTGTGACAGAGTAAAGGAAGAGTTTAAGTTTCTTCCCAGAAGTTTCTGCAGCTGACGCCAACACAGACCTGGAGTTTACAAAACAAACAGAAGACGGAAGAAACAAGACCAGAGATAAACACCACTGCTAAAACTGATAAACCCGGTCCTGGTTTAGACCTGCTTTAGTCCTGCTTTAGGCCTACTTTAGGCCCGCTTTAGGCCTGCTTTTGTCCTGCTTTAGGCCTGCTTTTGTCCTGCTTTTGGCCTGCTTTAGTCCTGCTTTAGTCCTGCTTTAGCCTGCTTTAGACCTGCTTTACACCAGCTTTAGACTTACTTTACACCAGCTTTAGACCTGCTTTAGACATTTTTTAGTCGTGCTTTAGATCTGCTTTAGTCCTGCTTTAGACCTGTTTTAGACCTGTTTTAGTCCTGTTTTAGACCTGTTTTAGACCTGTTTTAGTCCTGTTTTAGACCTGCTTTAGTCCTGCTTTAGACCTGCTTTTGACCTGCTTTAGACCTGCTTTAGACCTGCTTTAGTCCTTTAGACCTGCTTTAGTCCTGCTTTAGACCTGCTTTAGACCTGCTTTAGACCTGCTTTAGACCTGCTTTAGTCCTGCTTTAGACCTGTTTTAGACCTGCTTTAGACCTGCTTTAGACCTGCTTTAGTCCTGCTTTAGACCTGCTTTAGACCTGCTTTAGACCTGCTTTAGACCTGTTTTAGACCTGCTTTAGTCTTCTTTTGAGACCTGCTTTAGTCCTGCTTTAGACCTGCTTTAGTCCTGCTTTAGACCTGCTTTAGTCCTGCTTTAGACCTGCTTTAGACCTGCTTTAGCCTGCTTTAGACCTGCTTTAGACCAGCTTTAGACCTGCTTTAGACCTGTTTTAGTCCTGTTTTAGACCTGCTTTAGTCCTGTTGTAGACCTGCTTTAGTCCTGTTTTAGACCTGTTTTAGTCCTGCTTTAGTCAGTTATCATGAGCAGCAGCTGTTGGTTACATCAGATTGTGTGAGTGACAGAAAAACGCAAAATCATCCAAAGTCTTATCTGAGTCTGCAGCGAGTTTGAGCCAGGACTGAAGCCGGCTCCAAACACAGGCCTAAAGCAGGTCTAAAACAGGTCTAAAGCAGGACTAAATCAGGTCTTAAGCAGGTCTAGAGTAGGACTAAAGCAGGTCTAAAGCAGGACTAAAGCAGGTACAGGTCTAAAGCAGGTCTAAAGCAGGTCTAAAGCAGGTCTAAAGCAGGTCTAAAGCAGGTCTAAAACAGGTCTAAAGCAGGACTAAAGCAGGTCTAAAGCAGGTCTACTACAGGTATATAAATAGATGGTGAAATATAAAAATGCTTTCCGCCTGTAACTCCCTGGGCCGCCACCAGAGGGAGGAGGATAATTATATGTGTTTTCTTCCTAAATTTGAATATTGCAGCTTCAGTGACAGACTGATCCACCCTCTCTGTGTGAAGGAGAGGATCCGCAGGTCTTTCCCTCCAGCTGCTGTCAGACTGTACAATGAGTCTGCTGAGCCATACATGTGCACAATGTCACTTTATCTACTCATCCTTCTGCCAGATGTGTGTATGACTGACCATATATAGACACACACACACACACACACACAGTATACAGATGTGTGTATGATTGACCATACATAGACACACACACACACACACAGTATACAGATGTGTGTATGATTGACCATACATAGACACACACACACACACACACACACACACACACACACACACACACACACACAGTATACAGATGTGTGTATATTGACCATACATAGACACACACACACACACACACAGTATACAGATGTGTGTATGATTGACCATACATAGACACACACACACACACACACACACACACACACACACACACACACACAGTATACAGATGTGTGTATGATTGACCATATATAGACACACACACACACACACACACACACACACACACACACAGTATACAGATGTGTGTATGATTGACCATATATAGACACACACACACACACACACACACACAGTATACAGATGTGTGTATGATTGACCATATATAGACACACACACACACACACACACACAGTATACAGATGTGTGTATGATTGACCATATATGGACACACACACACACACACACACACACACAGTATACAGATGTGTGTATGATTGACCATATATGGACACACACACACACACACACACACACACACAGTATACAGATGTGTGTACGATTGACCATATATAGACACACAAACACACACACACACACACACACAGTATACAGATGTGTTGAAGCATTTACATGCATTTACTTATATGTGTGTATTTTGCGTGTGCCTTGTGTGTTCTCACTACTGTCCTGTCTGTGCGCTGCAACACTGAAATTTCCCCTCAGTGGGACCTATAAAGGTTCTCGTATTGTGTCATAAAGCTCAATAATAATGTGGAAGACTGGGGTACCAGAGAGAGACCAGAGAGAGACCAGAGAGAAACCAGAGAGAGACCAGAGAGAGACCAGAGAGAAACCAGAGAAAGACCAGAGAGAGACCAGAGAGACCAGAGAAAGACCAGAGAGACACCTGAGAGACCATTGAGAGACCAGAGAGAGACCAGAGAGAGACCAGAGAGAGACCAGAGAAAGACCAGAGAGAGACCTGAGAGAAACCAGAGAAAGACCAGAGAGAGACCAGAGAGAGACCAGAGAGAGACCAGAGAGAAACCAGAGAGAGACCAGAGAGAGACCAGAGAGAAACCAGAGAAAGACCAGAGAGAGACCAGAGAGACCAGAGAAAGACCAGAGAGACACCTGAGAGACCATTGAGAGACCAGAGAGAGACCAGAGAGAGACCAGAGAGAGACCAGAGAAAGACCAGAGAGAGACCTGAGAGAAACCAGAGAAAGACCAGAGAGAGACCTGAGAGAGACCAGAGAGAGACCTGAGAGAAACCAGAGAAAGACCAGAGAGAGACCTGAGAGAGACCAGAGAGAGACCAGAGAAAGACCAGAGAGACACCTGAGAGACCAGAGAGAGACCAGAGAGAGACCAGAGGAAGACCAGACAAAGACCAGAGAGAGACCAGAGACAGACCAGAGGAAGCCCAGAGGAAGACCAGAGAGAGACCAGAGAAAGACCAGACAAAGACCAGAGAGAGACCAGAGAGAGACCAGAGGAAGACCATAGAGAGACCATAGAGAGACCAGAGAGAGACCATAGGAAGACCAGAGAAAGACCAGAGAGAGACCAGAGAGAGACCAGAGAAAGACCAGACAAAGACCAGAGAGAGACCAGAGAGAGACCAGAGGAAGACCATAGAGAGACCATAGAGAGACCAGAGAGAGACCATAGGAAGACCAGAGAAAGACCAGAGAAAGACCTGACAAAGACCAGAGAGAGACCAGAGAGAGACCAGAGGAAGACCATAGAGAGACCAGAGAGAGACCATAGGAAGACCATAGGAAGACCAGAGAAAGACCAGAGAGAGACCAGAGAGAGACCAGAGAGGGACCAGAGAGAGACCAGAGAGAGAGAGACCAGAGAGACCAGAGAGAGACCAAAGTAGAATCCTCCTTCGTTAGCGAAGCACAAGTAGCATTAGTCGATCCGCCGCCATTGTTGTTTACGTTCTACTGCGTTTTTTTTGCGTATCTTTTTATTGTTGCTCTGTCTTGATTTGTATTGTTCTTGTATAAATAAATTAAAATAATAAAGTTCTGTAACCGTGGTCACCTGCAGCTCGCACCAGGCCACCTCCACCGTGGTCTCGGTGTCCAGACCTTTGAAGACCGTCTTGAAGGATCCTCGTCCGATCTCGATGTTGAACTTGAGGAAGCGTCCGTCGGGAGATGACGCCACGGCCTGCAGATCAGCCTCGTCCTCCGTCGCCCTCTGTCGCCATAGCAACTGCGGCAGAGGCTCCGCCCCCTCCGCCTCGGACTCCTCCTCCTCGCGCCGCTCCTCCGCATCGCTCAACATTTCACTGGAGACAAAGACGAAGGTTTAAGCTATAGGACTACCAGAAACTTCTAGAACTTCCATTGCAGTCATTTTGACGGTTCCCACAAACCTCTCCCTGGTCTATGTCTCTGGTGTGTTTCTTTCTGATCTCTCACTGGTCTCTGGTTTCTGTCTCTGGTCATTTTGACAGCTCCCATTCAAATCTCTGTCTCAGGTCTCTCTCACTGGTCTCTCTCTGGTCTCTCACTGGGCACTCTTAGATCTCTCTCTGGTCTCTCTCTCTGGTCTCTCTCTCTGGTCTCTCTCTGGTCTCTCACTGGTCTCTCTCTAGTCTCTCTCAGGTCTCTCTCTGGTCCCTCCTACTGGTCTCTCTCTGGTCTCTCTCTCTGGTGTCTCTCTGGTCTCTCTCTGGTCTCTCTCTGGTCTCTCTCTGGTCTCTCTCTCTGGTCTCTCTCTGGTCTCTCTCTGGTCTCTCTCTCTAGTCTCTCTCTGGTGTCTCTCTGGTGTCTCTCTGGTCTCTCTCTGGTCTCTCTGGTCTCTCTCTGGTCTCTCTCTGGTATCTCTCTCTGGTCTCTCTCTGGTCTCTCTCTGGTCTCTCTCTGGTCTCTCTGGTCTCTCTCTGGTATCTCTCTCTGGTCTCTCTCTGGTCTCTCTCTGGTCTCTCTCTGGTCTCTCTCTGGTCTCTCTCTCTGGTCTCTCTCTTATCTCTCTGGTCTCTCTCTGGTCTCTCTCTGGTCTCTCTGGTCTCTCTCTGGTATCTCTCTCTGGGCTCTCTCTGGTCTCTCTCTGGTCTCTCTCTGGTCTCTCTCTCTCTCTCTGGTCTCTCTCTGGTCTCTCTCTGGTCTCTCTCTCTCTCTCTGGTCTCTCTCTGGTCTCTCTCTGGTCTGTCTCTGGTCTCTCTCTCTGGGCTCTCTCTGGTCTCTCTCTGGTCTCTCTCTGGTCTCTCTCAGGTCTCTCTCTGGTTTCTCTGGTCTCTCTCTGGTCTCTCTCTGGTCTCTCTCTCTGGTCTCTCTCTGGTCTCTCTCTGGTCTCTCTCCCTGGTCTCTCTCTCTGGTCTCTCTCTGGTCTCTCTCTGGTCTCTCTCTGGTCTCTCTCTGGTATCTCTCTCTGGTTTCTCTCATGTCTCTCTCTCTGGTCTCTCTCTGGTCTCTCTCAGGTCTCTCTCTGGTTTCTCTGGTCTCTCTCTGGTTTTTCTCTCTGGTCTCTCTCTCTGGTCTCTCTCTGGTCTCTCTCTGGTCTCTCTCCCTGGTCTCTCTCTGGTCTCTCTCTGGTCTCTCTGGTCTTTCTCTGGTCTCTCTCTGGTCTTTCTCTGGTCTCTCTCTGGTCTTTATCTGGTCTCTCTCTGGTCTCTCTCTGGTCTCTCTCTGGTCTCTCTCTGGTCTCTCTCTGGTCTCTCTCTGGTCTCTCTCTGGTCTCTCTCTGGTCTCTCTCTCTGGTCTCTCTCATGTCTCTCTCTCTGGTGTCTCTCCCTGGTCTCTCTCTGGTCTCTCTCTGGTCTCTCTCTGGTCTCTCTGGTCTCGGTCTCTCTCTGGTCTCTCTCTGGTCTCTCTCTCTGGTCTCTCTCTGGTTTCTCTCTCTGGTCTCTCTCTGGGTCTCTCTCTCTGGTCTCTCTCTGGTCTCTCTCTCTCTCTCCCTGGTCTCTCTCTGGTCTCTTTCTGGTCTCTCTCTGGTCTCTCTCTGGTCTCTCTCTGGTCTCTCTCATGTCTCTCTCTCTGGTCTCTCTCTCTGGTCTCTCTCTGGTCTCTCTCATGTCTCTCTCTCTGGTCTCTCTCTGGTCTCTCTCATGTCTCTCTCTCTGGTCTCTCTCTGGTCTCTCCCTGGTCTCTCTCTGGTCTCTCCCTGGTCTCTCTCTGGTCTCTCTCTGGTCTCTCTCATGTCTCTCTCTCTGGTCTCTCTCTGGTCTCTCTCATGTCTCTCTCTCTGGTCTCTCTCTGTTCTCTCTCATGTCTCTCTCTCTGGTCTCTCTCTGGTCTCTCTGAAGCTCAAATGAGAGACTTTGGTGTCATTAGTCTAATCTGTAACATAGTTTCGGGCTGCTGTAGTCACAGTTTAAGCTCGTCCTGGTCCACTGCCTCAGTCCCTAAACCCTGACCCTGGACCAAAGTCCTGGACTCACCCAAACCCAAGACATCCTCCAGGTTTAGATTTGTTTCTTAAAGCTGGGGGTTGTAACTTTCAAACCACAACAATAAAACTCTGTGAAGACATCCACCTCACTCTGTCCTGGCTCTGAAACTGTTTCTATCACTGGTTCTCACATGTGTTTGTTTTGGCATCAGCCCAAAGAGTCAGATAGTGACTCACAAGGTTCTTTCATACACAAGAGTGGCAAGAGCTCTGGTGTGTGTCGTCTGGTGCATACCAGGGTAGTCTTGCACAGTTTTTCCTATGTGGTTTTACTGCAAATGGCAAATAAATGAATCTGAATTTGAATCTGAATCTGAAGAGAGCGACCAGAGAGAGAGACCAGTGAGAGATTTCTAGTCTCTCTCATGTCTCTCTCTGGTCTCTCTCTGGTCTCTCTCTGGTCTCTCCCTGGTCTCTCTCTGTTCTCTCTCTGTTCTCTCTCTAGTCTCTCTCATGTCTCTCTCTCTGGTGTCTCTCCCTGGTCTCTCTCTGGTCTCTCACTGGTCTCTCTCTGGTCTCTCTCTGGTCTCTCTCTCTGGTCTCTCTCATGTCTCTCTCTGTTCTCTCTCTAGTCTCTCTCTCTGGTCTCTCTCATGTCTCGCTCTGGTCTCTCTCTGGTCTCTCTCTCTGGTCTCTCTCTGGTCTATCTCTGGTCTCTCTCTGGTCTCTCTCTGGTCTCTCTCTCCGGCCTCTCTCTGATCTCTCTCCGGCTTCTCTCTCTAGTCTCTCTCTGGTCTATCTCTGGTCTCTCTCTGGTCTCTCTCTGGTCTCTCTCTGATCTCTCTCCGGCTTCTCTCTCTGGTCTCTCTCTCTGGTCTCTCTATCCGGCCTCTCTCTGGTCTCTCTCTGGTCTCTCTCTGGTCTCTCTCTGGTCTCTCTCTTGTTACATACCCCAGCTCTAACAGCCTTATCTCAGCTCTTGCAACTCACCGTGGTCTCTCAGATCTTTGTGGGCAGAGTGGGACATCTCAAAGACAACAGCAGGTCTTTGTGCAGCTGTAGAATCCAGGTCCAAAATGTGGAAAGTGACATTTTTGTGGAGTTTCTGCAGTTTCTCTGAGTGTGTCAAAGTCAGAGCTGAGTCACAACATTATCTGATCAGCAGGCCACGCCCACACGCAGATTAGGCCACGCCCCTGTAAACACAGCAGCCATGTGGGACCTGCAACAACAGAAACATGTTTGGGATCAAAACACCGCCGTAAAAGGGTTATTATTAGAGTAAGTGCAATTCACCGATTAGAAAGAACAACAAGAGAAGATTAGAAAACTTTTATTCATCACACAGCGGGGAAATTCCAATGTTGCAACGCACTTACAGCATAGTAGCAAAAGCACACAAAAAGCACTGCAAAAAAAGATCAAATATGAGGTAATAAATGCTTGAATCCTGTGGTTTTTGTCTTTATCCGACACATTCTGACGGTGTTAAAATCAGATTCTCCGATGGGACATTTAGTCTGAAATCAAGAACTGTTATGAAGCAGAAAAGTTACATACCCCAGCTTTAATGACCTTATCTCGTCTCTTGCGACTCACCGTGCTCTCTCAGATCTTTGTGGACAGAGTGGGACATCCCGAAGACAACAGCAGGTCCAAATACAGATCATTTTGCCGTTAGTGAATCTGGTTTTTTTACTGTAAACCCTAACTTCAATCTTACTTCAGATATCAACGATATTTTAAATGGATTTTTCCCACTAAGTAAATATTATTGGATTATTGTCGGATTATTTAAGGCTGTATCACTCTGGGCCGTCTTTGAATTGAGCTGTCTCTGTTCTGTCTGTGTAGATTTATATAAATAGATAGATATTGGAATAAGTATTAAAGCTTAGGTACCTAACTTTTATTTCTCATGATGGAACATGGAGTTTGTTTTTCAGACTTCAACCTATTAGAACACATGTCTTTAGAGTCAGAGAGATCCCTGTGAGTCACTATCTGCCTCTTTGGGCTGAGAGCTGATTGACCGAGAGAGGGCGGTCCTCCCTGTTTCATTTTTCAGTCTGAAAATCTGAACTCAGACAGAGGTTTCTAATGTTTACAGTTACGTACCTCAGCTTTAAAAATGTATTCCACATTCTCTCTTTATAATTGCTTCCATGGCCTGTTATACCTCATCAAACCAGGGACAGGAGATTAATATTAGCATTAGCTCTACACGCTGTATGTGTCGCATCAGCTGCAGCGTTGTATGACTGCATCGTCTCTGTCAAATAAATAATAATTAAAAAAAGGCTAATTTCTCAGAGAAACCTGTGTTCTTTTCTAAACGATGAATCATAAATTGTTGTTTGTAATAATTTGTCAAAAACCGTCTCCAGGATAAATGTGCGTTTGTGTTTCTCTGACCTCTGCTTCTCGAGGAGGTCCTGGGTTTGAATCCCGGTCATAACAGGGTCTTTCCGAGTGGAGTTTGCATGTTCTCCGCCTGAAGGGCTTTGAACACATGATGACAGTGGAACGAGCCATGGAGCTGTGTTTGGGTGAATGAAGCTCCCACCGCCAGAGTGCGGGCTGTTGCATGTTCTGCTCTTTCCTTTAAAAAGTTCTCCTTGTGAATAATATGTTGGAAAAGAGTCTGTATGTGTGACTCCCTCTCGGCTCTTCTTTCTCCTTGGTCTCTGTCTCTATTTTCTCTCATGTACTGTACCTTTCTGGTTTTTCTCTCTGGTCTCTCTCTGGTCTCTCTCTGGTCTCTCTCTGGTCTCTCTCTGGTCTCTCTCTGGTCTCTCTCTGGTCTCTCTCTGGTCTCTCTCTGGTCTCTCTCTGGTCTTTCTCTGGTCTTTCTCTGGTCTCTCTCTGGTCTCTCTCTGGTCTTTCTCTATGGTCTTTCTCTGGTCTCTCTCTGGTCTCTCTCTGGTCTTTCTCTATGGTCTTTCTCTTGG